CGTTAGGAAACAAAACTTCCAGAACACGGCCACATAGCCCGGAAGACCCACACCAGCCATCTAATATTTCCTTTATTTCAAAATGTTGCTAACCTTCAACCATTATAGGTTCCGGAACTGATGGAGCCACATGCCATCATGTTGATTCTATATAAGGCTTCAGCAAATTATAATGAAACACAAGATTGATCTTCCTTAATGATTTAGGCAGTTTGAAGTGAACAGTCACTGGGTTAATAACTGTTCCAATTTCCAAAGGACCGAGGTATTTAGGTCCTAGTTTCTTTGAGAGTTGTGACGATTTCAGGTTCTGGGTTGAAAGAAATACTTTGTCGCCAACTTTCCATTTCTTTTCAGGCGCCCTCTTTCGGTCTGCATATTTCTTGTAACTTTCTCTTGCCTTTTCCAATGCCTTTTCTATAATTGGCCATAAGTCTTTCATCTGCTTAACCCATTCGTCTGCTGACAAGACACCAATCTTTTCACATGGAAGTTTGGGAATTGGTACGAAGTCTTGACCCATGGCTATTTTAAAAAGGGTAAATCCAATACTATCGTGCACTGGATTCTTGAAGTCTTGACCCGTGGCTATTTTAAAAGGGGTAAATCCAGTACTATCATGAAAGATAGGAAGCAGATGAAATAACACTCTTCCCTCTTTGTGTATTTCTGGCTCATTAAAAGTATTCGTGCAGCAAACCTATTTTTGTTTTCTAATTAAATTGTTTATGGAGAGTTCTCCAATCAAATCTCTCAGTCAGCTATTCTGATTCATACATGAAGCAGGGAGTACTGTGTGGCAATGATTATCATATACAGGTAGTCCTCAACCTACAACCATTAGTTCAGCAATTGTTCAAAATTATGATGCTGCTGAATGAATGGTGGTTATGACTGGTCCTCAGAGTTCTAGCCGTCCCAGCACCCTGCAGTCACATGATCGCCATCTGGGTGCTTGCCAACCAGTTCTCACTTATGACTGGTTACAGTGCCCTGAGATCACATGATCACTATTTGCAACCTTACCTAATGGCTTCCCCAGAAAGTCAGTGGGGAAGCTGGCAAGGAAGGTCACGAGTCACTGGGGTAAGTCTCCCCCACCTGCGCACCCTCCCCAACCCTTGCCACACTTCTCTTGCACCCCCATGCACCTTCGCTTACCCCCTGCACACCTTCCCCAATCTGCGCCGCACCCTCGTGCACCCCCTCACACCCTTGTGTACCCTCCCCGACCCATTTGGTGCCTCTTGCACACACCCTCATGCACCTCATATATTGAATCCTTGACATGATACATGAGAATAGTGAATATACTATAGAGCAGCACAGGAATAATTCAATAAGGCCTTTTTGCTACTTTAAGAGATACATTGTTTTGGGTGCTTCTATTGGAATTGATCATGTATCTTATTTTTACAAAGGTTTTATATTACCTCCAGCATTTACAAGTGGAAAACGAGAGACTGTCATGATTGTAGAACTTGAAAAGAACAAAGACTCATTAAATACTGCTATTCTAAAGGTAATTATATTTTTAAAAATGAACATCTACAGTCAACATTAATAAAATATTTTTTTCATATTTTCAAAAAGCAGTTTATTTTATATAAACTAAAGGATCTCAGTACAAGAAAGTACACACGTGTATTGAGAACCAGAAATGTGAGCACAGGTTTCTATTGAAGGGCAGATGGATAAGAATACAAGGAATAGGAAATGACAAAGATATTATTGTGAGGTATAATACAGGCTGCCAAACTAAGCTGAAGGTTGGAATAAATGTCCTTCT